CCTACATTCCCAAATTCCTACATGTCCAAATTCCTACATTCCCAAATTTTCACATGTCCAAAGTCTCACATGTTCAAGTTCTCACATGTCCAAATTCCTAAATTTTCAAATTCACACATGCCTAGATTTCTACATTCTCAAATCCCCACATATCCCAATTCCCACACATTCAAATTCCTCATACCCTGCAACTATTGTTGTGAACTTTTTTTCGTAAGAATGCTACAAATGGGAGAAAAATCGTGAGTAGTATTACAGGTAACACCCTGTACATCACATATGTATACGTATACATATGTACATATATGTTTTTAAAGCATTTCAGTATTATCAAGTCAACACTATTTTTGCTTGACATAAATTGGACAAAGTTATATACTTACCTAATCTATTATTTTTTCAGAGTGTGGCATTTTATAAAACATTCTCGCCAACTCCACTCATGTGAAGCGTACCTGACTTGGCAATGAATCTGACCTTTTGAACAATGTATCGTTAATATTGTATGGAATAGAAATGTCATCCTTTTGCTTTACTCTTCACATTAATAACTCGTATTAATAATTAATAATTTGTTCTTTGATTTCAATTTCGAATGCGAGTTTTAAAACTAAACTCCATAAGTGAAGTGGCTGAGGATGATTGTATGAATTAAAACGTGACACTCGGTATAATGGGATGGGGAACGGCAAACCTTCTTTCTCTTTCTCCCTCTACCTGGGCCCTTGTTTCTCTGTCGTTGGTTCACCTGAGAATCGGGGAATGTCCTCGTGGCGAGAGTAGTCGTCAGTGTCTCGGTAGACCTCCATCTGGAGCCTAGTTCTTCGCACAGGAAGACGTACGTCGGTTCGCTCGCGTGTGTCACGGCGTGTCACGTGTACTCTTGAACGGCGTTTCACGTTGGAACCCGAAACGAAAACGCTGATGATACATTCCGAAAGCAGACACGAGAAATCGCGTTGATCGTCTACGTATCCGTCGTCTTCCGCTGCCGCGTGCTTCCGACTCGATTTTCACGCTGTTGAGTCGTGCTTTCGGTAGCCCGGAAAGCTTGCTGCCTGCGAGTGGTATGTGTGAAGTGAATCCCTTGGGAAGTGGATTCGTTGAAATGTAAATAACGCGATGAAAAAGGAAGTTGGAGCTTCGATCGTGTTCCGTTCTTGGAAATTTGTTCAAGAAGATGCACGGCGGTGTTTGAAAGACAGTCGTGTCGTATGATAAAATTGATAGATTAGGATCGTTTGTAAGAGTCGCATGTCCAAAAGTATTTGCTGCTCGTTGATTTTTATGTTTCGATGATTTTAGTTTTCGAGGAAATTTGAGGATATTGGTCGAAATTATTTTTTAATCGAATTGCTATGTTACCATGTAGTAATTTATCAATTTATCAATTTATTGATGTAGCAATTTACTAGTTGGTCAATTTCCAATTCCACTTATTTATTGATTTATCAAATTATCGATCAATCATACTATCAATTTGTCAAATTATCAATCTATAAAATTACCAATCCTATAAATTTATCAATCTTATGAATCTTATTAATTTATCAATCTTATCAATTTTGTCAATCGTATCAATTTACGAATTTGTCAATTTTGTCAATTTTATCAATTTTTATCAATTTGTCGATTTTATTAATTTTTATCAATTTGTCGATTTTACTAATTTTATCAATTTTTGTCAATTTTTATAAATTTGTCAATTTTGTCAATTTTGACAATTTTGTCAATTTTGTCAATTTCATCAATTTCATAAGTTTCATCAATTTGATCAATGTACCAATTTCATCAATTTTATCAATTTCATCAATTTCATCAATTTCATCAATTTCATCAATTTCGTCAATTTCATCAATTTGATCAATTTGATCAATTTAACAATTTCTAGTCAGCAAGCTAGCGATTAAGCAAGTTATCATATTATCATATTACAAATGATCAAATTACTAAATTACTAATTTTTCAAATTACAAAATTACCAAATTGATAAAACTACAAATTACTAGTTCTCAAGTTACTAAATTTACAAATCTTCAATTTTCGTATCTTTGAATGATCAAATTGTGAAATTGTAAAATATCAAAATGATGAAATTTCAAATTTCCAAATTCCAAAATTAGTAAATTCTCTAGATCTCAAATCTTCCTTCTGTTAATTAAATTTAAAATAATTCGATTTAACAATAAATCTTCAATTTCATTGAACAGCAAGCCACTTGCATGATTATCATTCATTAAGTCAACCTTGAACCAAATATTCCAGAGCTTCGTGCTTCTGCATCTTCCCCAAAATTCCCCTTCAGCATTTTGTAAATCCCCTAAAAAAAAATCGATTTCTCTTCCCTAAATTCAAACCATTTCAAACCACACGATTTACAATTTCATTATCGATACAAGCGATCGTGTTCGCCAGGAATAATAATAGAGCGATTTACTATGATAATTAGCCAACAGGCCCTAATTCCTCGACACAGTCTGTTTAAACCGATCGATCATCTGCAATCAATCAGATTCCACGTAACCGGTGCTTGACCAAACAAATTATTTCCTCCCGATTAGAGCCGGGTTCATTCTCCCCGCTCACGTCCCGTGTATCTAATGCAGTGCAATCGTTCGATTAAATTGCACGCGAATCGAAAACCGCACTCGAGAGCTTTTCGACCTGTTCCTCGCTATTTCGAGCAATTTCCTTCGTGGTTACGTCGGACTGCGTTGATGTAATGTCATCAGGATCGCGGGAAAGAGCGATGGCTCGTTTAACGTCAAACGAGTCGGCTATTAGCTACACAATGCTACTCATCAATTGCTCGTAACTGTCCGTGTTAACAGCGTACACCTTTCTCGTCGTTTAATCGTCACTCGTTAAACGTCCCCGAACCCCATGGTCAAACGAGGTGCCGCTACAATCGTGCTTGACAATCCTTTTAGCCCGGAGTGGCTGATAAATCGCTTTTTATCGCCGCCATACAGCCCTTCTAACGAGCTGCCGTTGATATTTACCGGGCGAAATTGGATCATTCAGATCAGACCTTTTTCTAGATTCTTTCGTATTCATTGCTCAAACGTTTGTCACGCACCAACGGGATCAAATAATGGTAACACGGATGGACGGCTTTTTTTATTAACACGTTCAATGTCGCGGTGATAACGATTGCGCGCAGCGAGGCGGGATGTAATTGCTGTTACGTTCGAGCTATATTGCTACAGGTGGAGCGATCAAATTTGCGGATACCATCAGGTCTGTTTGATGTTAAATGGAGAAATTAGGAGCGACGTGTTTCGAAGTTCATGGTTGCTGTTTCCATTATTTTTATTCGAAATGGTGGTCAGATTTATTTGCAACGTGCGTGTAGTTACTGTAGACTCTAGCTATATTGCCGCGGGTAGCAAACTTGTAGATACCGTCAGATTTGTGCAGGTTTTGTTTGATGTTAAATGGAGAAATTAGGAGTGATGTATTTCGAAGTTCATGGTTGTTGTTTCCATTATTTTTATTTGAAATGTTCGTAAAATTTATTTATAACGTAAGCGTGTAGTTACTGCGGACTCTAGCTCTATTGCCGCGGGTAGCAAACTTGTAGATATCATCAGATTTGTGCAGGTTTTGTTTGATGTTAAATGGAGAAATTAGAATTGGAATTAGATGTTTGATTGCTGTTGCGATTATTGCTATTTGAAAATAAAGTTCAAATAAATTTACTCCAAATGTAAAATTGTTTCATCGCACTACACGTAGAATATGGAAGATTAATTTGTGATCTGAAAATTTAGAAATTTGGGAATTTGCACATTTGAAGACCTAGAAATTTGCAAATTTTTCAATTTGGAATTTTTATACCCATTTTGGAACTTTGAAGATTTGAAACCATTAACATTGAAAATTTAACAAATTACAAATTTCCGAAAATTTTTAAACATAATTTGTATCTATAAAACTATTGAAGGATTCGATGATAACCATAAAAATATTTCAATGAAGTAAACGCAATTGTATTTCGAAACCATAATATTTAATTTAACACGTAATATATATACGCGTATTTCGAAAAAAACCGAAGCTCACAAAAGTCCACAAAAACGATATTTATTGAAACACTGATGTGCGAAATTAGTCGAATTGAAAATCTCCATTGAAATGGGAAATGCGAAACCGGATAATTTGATCGTTTTTCGCGTTCACCTTTAAAACCGCAAAAATCGATTACTTTTGTCAGCACATACTAAAAGTGACTGTACGATATTACACGAGGTACCGTTCTGGGTTGGTTGCCATGAAAAGGGCGGAAATCTATGCAGGATGAAGTTCGTCTTTGATATCAGGATTTCTCTTCCACCTGGAAATCCACTATTGCCTTACATTCACGGAAATCTTTCTTGCGAATTTCTTTTGGGAAACGTGGAATTTAGTGGCACATTTAGAGAAAGTATAACCTGTCGTTTAATCAATTGATTTGATACATTTCTATCGGAAAGAACTCTTCAAAATGAACTGTATAGTGGATTCAAATATAAATAGTTTATAACTCCAAAAATTTATTTAATTTAGTTTCCTTGGAATTACTTTTAAATAATAGGAAAATTAAATATACAAGATAAAAATAAAATTCTTATAATACACATTATAATATTATAATATGTATATATTGCTAGATGAAAAAAAATAAAATAGTTTTAATTTCAATCTAAATATACTTCCAGTATCAGCAAAAAACCATGACTGATATCCAATAATATCGTGTACTACATAAAACACCTATTATTTTAAATGAATTGAAATTTCCATTTTCCAATATGTAAATCTTACTTTAACTTCGAATAAGACTTGTATAGACATAAAAATTTATAATTAACAATATATAATTACATAGTTTATGTCACTTTTGCATTTAAACTTTGAAATACTATATATAGCATTTGAATTTTCGCGCGTCGTTAATGGCGCCCCTAGCGTCCGAATTCGCGCGCAATCATCGATTCGACCGCACTGGATCGCGGGAGTTTAGTCGCGAACGTCAAAACCGGAGTGAATCATTCTGTTTCTCCGTTCTAAAACATCAAAATCTTTACAAATCACGTAATATTCGATTCCAAAGTGTTAAAAATCTTTCGTGTAAATCGTGTGAACCCGAATCGAAGCTTCAAATCGTGTAAACAAAGTTTTATTCGCGAATTCGTTGGCCGTTTCAGTTGTCGAATCTTCTCCTTCCAGTGGCGTCGTATTCTAACCGGGGAAAGTGAGAAAAGTCGAGGATTTTAAGTGGCGTTTCGTAGTGTCGCAGGTGTGAAACTGTCTTGTGTGTTACGTCGTATGCAGAAGTAGCCAAGAAAAGCGAAAAACGCCCGAGGAGAGATACTTTTGTCAACTGGAAGAAACGGTGAGTCAAACAACGAGATAAAGTTTAATGGCTCCTCTGGCGGGAAGTTTTGACGCACGACCGTAACGGAAGTTGCTGTTTCGTGTTTTCGAGACGGCAACTTTACGGCGTGATTAACTCGTATACACGTTGCATATCAATTCTGTTAATTTGAAAGTTACAGTGTGCAAGGATACACTTTTTAACTTTTATTTTTGTGGTGTCTGTATATAATTAATATGTTTTTTTATAGTAGTTTAGTTAATCAATTTCTTATTGATTTCTTATGCAATTTGAAATGTAAAATCATTGAAATACAATGTGTATACTATGATAACAATTTGTGGAATTTTTAAAGGTAGAATTGAATTTAAAATTTGTTATAACTGCAATATTAATAAATATGTACGTATGTACTGTATACATACATATATAGAAATATACTATATGTATATAGTATATAATATACTATAAGACGCGAAATTCTCTGTCGGTACCTTTGATCTCTCGAAAACGCTGTCCCTTCAAATTGGTCGTACAAACAAGCGGGAAATTTAAATCTACTTTCATGTCAATCTCTAATAATTTGGAATATATTTGCAATCAATTTTCTGTATATTACTAATATTGTCTTTCGAGGTATTTTTATCAATTTTACGGCGTTGAAAAGTTGAAAAGAAAAGAATATACCAAAATGATTGCTCTACAAAATATATTTGAAGAATATGTATTACGGAAATGATTATTACAAATAACTTGTAAGAAAATGAAAAACTATATATCACAAGAAACTACAGATGAATGTGTTACGGAGATTTGACAAAATATTTATTAGAAATACATTACTGGTGAATATGCAGATTTAAACTATTCTTTTTCGACCGCCATATTTTTACACTATGCGCATGCGCACATCCGATTCTTTTGATTTGGGCATTAAAATTGGTTGTCCTCTGTCTCTCTCTAGATACTCTTTGCTATAAGTATATAAATGTACTCATTGTGTCTTGATTAATAATTACTAATGTTATGTTAATAATACAATAATTTTTTTAGTTGTTTAATAATCTAATCGGTTGTAGTTTAAATAAGATACAAATGAATGTAAAATTGAAATCTAACAAATTAATAAATTTATCAGAGGAATGATGAATTCTGTAATTAATAATATAATTCCGTTAATGTTAATATAAAGATAAAGGGATAGATGAGCGTCTTAGAAGCAGCGTAATTAAATAAGCAAGAATGTTATTTCCGTTCACAGGAAGCAAACTTTCCAACACAGTAGAATCACACTTGATAATTTTGATATATTCAAGGCACACAGGGTGGTATTAATTTTCTGTAGAATTATTAACGACTAAGGGAGGCACAATGGTATATTTCTGGTCGAGAAATTTTGCTTGGTTCGAGAACAATTTGGAGAGGACGATTTTCAAATGTGATTGTAATCTTGGAAACTCTCAAAGCTGCTGCAGCAATTCATTTCGAAACGGTAGTATGTCTATTGTGAAAGGAGAAATTAGTGTGCACGTTAGTTATAGCGAAGAGAGAATCAAACCTTCTTTCAGGAATTGTAATTGTAACGTATTTACGTGCTCATGTAGAATTTCTGCAAAATTCATTTATACATACAATTGTACAAAACTACTTTTAATTAAAGACTGATTATTTTCTTAACTAATTTTGTATAGGAGGTAAACAATAAATAAGAGAAGTTAAATATTTAATGCCAGATTTTATCATTTTTTAAAAATACATGTATGAGTGGTAGAATCACAATTAGAATGAATTTATAACAAACTTATTTATAATTTATTTATAACAAAAGTCCTTTCAACTAACTCACAACATCATTATGGCATTGGCGTTCATCTAAAACCGCATCAATGACTAGTCGATGTACAAAATCGATATATAATCATGCTCATACATCAAATTCATACGGTGTCCCATATAAAAGATGTACAATTATGTTCATACAAAAATATTTACACTTGCAAAATTATAATATTTTATCGATTTCTTGATCTCTATACAAATGCACTCATAGAATACAAGGAAATAGCAGAGAATAGTAGAAGGTGGTAGAATAACAGTGGTAGAGACTAGTAGAATGGTAACATAGTACAATGGTGAAATAGTAGAATGCTGGAATAGTATTACAGTGAAGCAGTTGAACGCTGCAGAAGTAGATCGTTGAAATAGTAGAATAATAGAACCGTAAAATAGTAAAATAGTAAAATTGTAATATTGTAAAATTGTATAATTGTAAAATTGGAAAAGAGCGGAATGGTAGAATGGTAGAATGATAGAATGATAGAATGGTAGAATGGTAGAATGATGGAATGGTGGAATGGTGGAATGGTGGAATGGTGGAATGGTGGAATGGTGGAATGGTGGAATGGTGGAATGGTGGAATGGTGGAATGGTGGAATGGTGGAATGGTGGAATGGTGGAATGGTGGAATGGTGGAATGGTGGAATGGTGGAATGGTGGAATGGTGGAATGGTGGAATGGTGGAATGGTGGAATGGTGGAATGGTGGAATGGTGGAATGGTGGAATGGTGGAATGGTGGATGGAAGGTGGAATGGTGGAATGGTGGAATGGTGGAATGGTGGAATGGTGGAATGGTGGAATGGTGGAATGGTGGAATGGTGGAATGGTGGAATGGTGGAATGGTGGAATGGTGGAATGGTGGAATGGTGGAATGGTGGAATGGTGGAATGGTGGAATGGTGGAATGGTGGAATGGTGGAATGGTGGAATGGTGGAATGGTGGAATGGTGGAATGGTGGAATGGTGGAACGGTGGAATGGTGGAACGGTGGAATGGTGGAACGATGGAATAGTGGAATAGTGGAATAGTGGAATAGTGGAATAGTGGAATAGCGGTATAGTAGAAGGGTAGAATAGCGGTATAGTAGAAAGGAAGAATAGCAGAATAGTAGAATGGTAGAATAGCAACCTGGTGGAGTAGTAAGATAGTAGCATAGCTAAATGATGTTATAGCAGAATAGTAGAATAGTGAGATAGCAAAATCGTGGAATAGCTGGATGGTAGTATCGTAGAGTAGTACAATAGTAGAACAGTGAGATAGTAAAATAGTTTAATAGTCAAATAGTAGAATGCTAGAACAGTACAATATTAGAATAGTGAAATTACAAAACGGTAAAACAGTAACCTAGCAAAGTAGTAAACCCACAAACTAATAAAATAATGAAAATATTAACCCAGAAAAATATTAAAATAATAACCCAACGAAGTACTAAACTAATATTCCATTACTCTATCAAACCATTAATATCCAAAAACAACAGTAAATTTACCAAAGCAAAATCCTATCCCTCCGACATTCGACTCGATCAAAGTAACTCCAAAGGGACACATTTGTCCTGCAAGGGAACACTGATGCGATCCATGCCCTATCGTCAAACCAACGAACGAATTTACCGAACATTTGCCTGTTAATTCACCTATGCAAGCGTTGTAATCCGGTTATGTTGGTGAAACCACAGGAATGTGCGGCTACGTACCTGTGCGGCTAATAGAACCTCTCGTATCCTCCGTGACCGCGTGTTCCCTGCACGTTCACGTGCGTGCACGTGTACGGATCGTCTGATCCGCGGACAAAAGGGTGTGAGGAAGAATAGAACTGGGTCAATGTGATTTCGCGAACTCTTTCGCAATTTAACTTCTCCAGCTTGCTGCTTTCTAGTTGTTCACTGTGTTCCATGCGAACCAACTCCTCTTTCATACTCTTCTTTATCTTACCCGCACGCTATTTAGCCAAACAACCCTCAACATACTTTAACACACTCTTTGTCGCCGCGGAAAAGCGCGAGAAATTATGAACACGTTCAATGCTATAATTGGAGCAATTATAACGCTCAGTTTTTATTTTCAACTTTATGGAAAATTAGGTGATTTGTGAAGGTACTTTGGTACGTTAGATTTGGTATTAGATTTAATTGTTAGTTTAATTGCTCTAATCTTGGTTTCACTTTTAGACGTGACTAAAACTTGAATATATAGCTTGAATATATAACTTGAATGTATAGCTTGAATATGTAATGTGTATATGTATCTTGAATATATAACTTGAATACATAACTTGAATATTTAGCTTGAATATATAACTTGAATATATAACTTGAATATATAGCTTGAATATATAACTTGAATATATAACTTGAATATATAACTTGAATATATAACTTGAATATATAACTTGAATATATAACTTGAATATATAACTTGAATATATAACTTGAATATATAACTTGAATATATAACTTGAATATATAACTTGAATATATAACTTGAATATATAACTTGAATATATAACTTGAATATATAACTTGAATATATAACTTGAATATATAACTTGAATATATAACTTGAATATATAACTTGAATATATAACTTGAATATATAACTTGAATATATAACTTGAATATATAACTTGAATATATAACTTGAATATATAACTTGAATATATAACTTGAATATATAACTTGAATATATAACTTGAATATATAACTTGAATATATAACTTGAATATATAACTTGAATATATAACTTGAATATATAACTTGAATATATAACTTGAATATATAACTTGAATATATAACTTGAATAACCTAACTTCTATTTTAACATCAAATAAAATGATATACAATTTTATGCGAGGACAGTTCGATATCTAGCATTAGACCATTTCATATAATGTGAAGGTTAAAAATGTGCAGTTTCGTGAAAGGGTGACGCTGGGTGGGTACGAATGGGTGGTAGAGATAGAGAAAAATCGCTAGCCCCGGCTCTCGATTATCGATTCTACGTTCTCGAACTGCTTGCTACGTGTCCCGCAATCGAATTGGCCGGTTTGCCGAACGTTTGCTCGCCAATTTACTTAGGCACGACGTGCGTGAACCTGCGACAACCTCGTTAGCGTTATCGGGTGCACGGTAACGCGCAAATGCGCTGTGATAATCGTTCGCTACAAACTGCATGATCCTCTTT